AACCCCGTTAGCCGAAGAATACAAAACAGAGGTATATATATTTAACAAAAGTGAAAAATAAAAAATTTATATATATATATATATATATATATATATATATATATATATATATATATATATATATATATATATATATATATATATATATATATATATATATACATATATATATATATATATTTATATATATTTATGTTTAATTTAATTAATTATATTATAATCTATTATATTAGATAGATGATATTGTTATCTGCAATATCAATGTTAATTATGTTATTTATGTTTGTAAATTATATTTCATTTGAGCCACCCAAAATATGCTTAGTCTTAAAGCCATTATTAAATAGAAATGTTTTTCAGATTAATTTTATTTAAACTGATAAATTTAACGTCATATTTTAAGTTTTTATATGAATATGTGTCTTTTTTTTTTTGATTTATTAAAATGTATGAATTAAAATTTATTTTTGGGATATGCTGTAAATTAATATGAAAACTAAGCAAACGACCTGATGACATACCTTTAAAATTTAATAAAAGACCTGATAACTCTTTTAAAATAAAATTGTCAGGGATTAGTACCCCTGAAAGTGTTCCTAATCTTAAACCCCTCAGAACCCCAAGTTTTTGATGGTCTATAACTTGGAGGGGTTTCAAACTCTTTTTGAACATAAGGGTTCTGGAACCCTTTTCTCAGGACCTTGATTTATTAGGATTTATAATCTTGTAGTTTTCCGAACCCTTTTTTTCTCAACACTTTTTCAGAACACTTTTTTAGAACCCTATTTTTCAGGCTTCCAGAAACCCAGCGGTTATGAACCCTCTTTTAAAACCAGGGTTCTTTATTAAATAGTAAGTAGGTTTGGATTTTTTGTAACTTTAAAATATTTATATAATTTTTCTTTCTGTCTTTATAAAAATAAGGAGAACAAAAATTGGCCGAGGAGTTGGAAAAGTAAATTTATTAATAAACAAACTAAAAATAATCCAATAATACAAAATATCAAAAATCAAGTTGAATGCTTAATCGGGAGATTAGAAAAATTATCAGTTTATTGAATTAAATATTGGGAGAGAGCCAGAAATTAATTCATCTACTTTGTTTTAAAATAGCATCCATTTTGTTATGAAAGTTACTTTAGGTGTACCGTCAACTCAAGTATTAGTTTAAAGTTCATTTAGTTCTTTAAGATTCGATGCAAGTCCTCTCAGAAATAGACTTAATTAAAAGCATGTTTTCTTAATTATGTTAATAAGAGTAAATAAAATTTATACAAAGATCTATGAAAATAAACAAAAAAATAAAATGAAAAAATACTAGAATTAAAAATGTAATACAATTATTCTGTATGTATTACAAAGTTGTGTAATTGTAAATAGATGATTATAAAACTTAACTATTTTAATTATTTCGTGTACCAATTAAATATATTTCAATATTGTTTTTTCTGTAATACAATATTTCTTAATGTTTCAGATCATTTCAAAATGGCAGATTAAAAATAAAATAATAAAAAGGAATAAATATAACATAGGCTATATTCTTATTGACTTTTGTTTTACATAATCCCCAATTTTTTTTTCGCGTTGAAAAATGTATTGATTAGTATTACATTAAATTAGTTTGTCACAAAGAAAGTATTGTCACTTGTTACCATTTACTATTTTTTTGTATATTAAATTTTTCTTAGTTGCTTGAAAATGTTAGTAAAGTAAGGTAGTTTGATATAAGCATTGCTATCTTAAACCATTTTAAATAAAAAAAGAGATCTGGAACCCCTGGTTATAATTGAGTTTCAAAATCCTGATTAAAAGATATTCTGAAAAACCCCTTTTTAACCCTTGGGTTCTTGAACCTTAAATTTAGATAAAGGCTCTAATACAAAAAAAATATAAATAACAAGTAACAAGAAAAATTTTTTTTTCGACTGCTCTCAAATACCTCAACACTCAGCATTAGTGTTGGTAATAGGCAATGCTGACCTAACTGCTGACCTTTTAGTTTCAGAGGTTGCAAAATTAATTTGGAATTTCATTTTTTGCTAAATATATGGGACTAACTACTGTTCATAAAAAAAAACTGATGACAAAGTGTCACTTTTAAAACATTTTTGAATGAATTTGCTAAGTTAAAATTACAGTTGTTGTAAAGTTGCCTAAAAATTTTATTACTGTATATATATTATATTACTGACTTTTTTAATTAAGTTTTTGCTTAAAGGGATCCCAAACTCCCAACACCTGTTGTGTTCATATTAAAGATAATGTTAAAAAAAGGTTTGAACCAAGTTTTTTTAATTAAAAGTAAATAATGCATACAGAGGAAAACTAATCTTGTTGTTTTAGCCAAAACTTGTCTTCTCCATTTTTTTCAATAACTCGGAGTCTTTAAATTATATGTCGCAGTCTACAGACTTTGGCAATTCCTTTGAAGCGCGTTTAATTCATAAAAGTTTTAGTATTTGACGTCACGGTAGACAAATGAAACTGGAAAATTTTTTTTTTTTATTCATAAATTTTTTTATTATTTGTTTAGTTATTTATTTTCTACTTTTTACATTTAAAAAGATTTTTTTTTAAATGTAAAAAGTTATAAATTGCGCTATATTTAATGTTATTAAATGATGAATATTTATTATCCCATTCAAGATTCTGATAAAAAAATTGTTTTATATTAGCCGTATAAAATTAGTAGCAGCATTTTTAATTGGTTAGACAACATTTTGTCTGAATTTGCTTTGCATGAAGTTCGGTAGGTCAAATAAAAGTTTGAATAATAATAACAGTTTTATAGCTTGCTTATTAGATTATGTTGATATCAAAAACGGTTTTTACTTGATGAAATATGCTGATAACACATCTTTAACACTAAAATCAAATTATGCTTAATCCTCAAAAAAAAAGGTCTTTAAAAATATGATGTAAATATAATATTTTTATCAAAATAAACATTATTATGCAACTTCTCAGAAACATAACAGGCACTCTTTTTGACATATGTGAAATGAAGGAAACTGTTTTACTAATGCATGGTATGTTTTTTGCCATATTAGATAACATTTTTCAAAGAGAAATGTTAAAAAACAGTTGTGCTTCCATATGCGGTTATACCCCACTTCCCCTATATATATATATATATATATATATATATATATATATATATATATATATATATATATATATATATATATATATATATATATATATATATATATATATATATATATATATATATATATATTGTAATTATGTAGTAATTGTGTAAATATTTATTGTTAAAGAGTGCTCAATACCAAAGTAGAGCAGTATATAGCTATATATATATATATATATATATATATATATATATATATATATATATATATATATATATATATATATATATATATATATATATATATATATTGTAATTATGTAGTAATTGTGTAAATATTTATTGTTAAAGAGTGCTCAATACCAAAGTAGAGCAGTATATAGCTATATATATATATATATATATATATATATATATATATATATATATATATATATATATATATATATATATATATATATATATATATATATATTTTGTAATTATGTAGTAATTGTGTAAATATTTATTGTTAAAGAGTGCTCAATACCAAAGTAGAGCAGTATATAGCTATATATATATATATATATATATATATATATATATATATATATATATATATATATATATATATATATATATATATATATATATATATATATATATATATATATATATATATATATATATATATATATATATATATATATATATATTAGGGATGTACCGAAGCTAAAATTTTGCCGAAGCCGAAGCTTCGGCACTATATATGCTTAAAATTTAATTAGCATTCAGATCAGCAGGGGTGTAAAACAAAAAAGGTTCCAAAACTAAGATCCTTGACTAATAATATAGAAAAAATGTATAAAAATGAGGACACAACTCAGGGTTGCTGCCCCAGGCAGGGTAAAAGCTCTCAGCGCCCCTGTTTGAAAGTTTCTTATTATGTCGTTTCTGATACTTCACCGCACCTAGTGTTTTTTTTTTTAACTTAAGCTTTTTTGAAACATTCTCCTCAAATTTTCCTACTTCTAGTTCTACTTTTTCTGTGTGCAAACCATATTAATGTTATATAGTGCACAATATCAGTAACTCACATATATTTCCAACTATTCCCAATATTCTTCTAAGATTATTGCTATTTTTTTGATCTTTTATAGCCATACTGTTCTTCTATGTAAACATCGTTTCTCTTTAATCCTCTTTCTAATCATCTAATTTTTAATCCTCAATTTAATTACCTTGTTTGCTCTATCTAATTATCGTGTGCTAGCTGAACATCCTCAAATTTTATTCCCCATAAATTACTGTTACGCTTTTCATGTGCTGTATATTTTATTTTTATTTTTAATGCACCTTTTGTTAAGAGTGGATAAAAATCAATGAATATTACTCAAGTAAATTTATCTTTTACACTTGAACACTCTTTCTCTAAGTAAACACTCTTAGCTGATCTAGTTGTATTTACAACATAAAAAATCTTACAAACACACTTTATCTTTTTATTGCTATTTATTTCAATATCTTTTTTTTACTTCTCTGTATTTCTTAAACGAACAATTTCTAAACTAAAAAAAAAACCAAGTTAAGACCATTTTGTATTCCACTACAACTGTTGTGAACCTGCTGCTAAAAACAATTAATAGATAAATAGATGCTAAGTACAATTGATAAATTTCTCTCTAACTTCTTTTTTACACACTTTTAAGTTGTTGTTGTTTTTTTTTATTATTTTTAATTTTACACTACATAACATTATCTTAAGCTTCTATTAATCTTTTACTCTCTGAAATTATAGTATTCATTCTTCTTCTATCTCTGTAATGGATAAATCTGCATCAGTATCTGAAATCAAATATTAACTATCTGTGACAAAAACTTCTATAGTAATCTAACAATTCAGTAAAGCGAGCTTTAATTAAAATAA